GAGTGATTGAGAATATCCTCTGTGTAGGCATTCTGCTGTGTACTAAGTTGAGGGATAAGCTGCTGCGGAGCTTGTGAGAAAAATATTGAAGGTAACCTCTTGGTACTGGGGCTTGTTCCCCTTTTCTGTTCCACCTTGCCAGTTGATGGCAACAGTAGGAAGTGTATATGAGTAGTGTAGAACACATGAGCATGCATGCATTATTACAATGGGTACTTATGTACCGAGTCTCTGACCAGTAGACAGTTTTTCTTAGCCTTCGGGCAGTTTCGGACTTCCACTGGATAGGTCTCCGAGAGGGAGTTCCAGTTGACCGTGGGTCATGGTGTGTGATCCGGGTAGGAGCACACTAGGAATGTCTCTGGCGTTTTGGATGGTTGGGGCATCATGGTTGTGGTTTTTGGAACGCACCTTGGATGATACCCATAGGCTTATATATGCCCAGGGCGTACGTGGTATTGGTAGCTACCATCCCGTATCGTCGTAGTTTGTATCTCTATATTCCCCATTTCTCTAAAACCCTTGCTATATCCCGTTTTAAAAAGTGGTTGTTGTATTCTATTCATATGCATCGAAGTGAACCATTGGGCGGAGTATTCTCCAGAACCTCTGGGTTACTGAGATATATTCGTATATCTCACCCCGTCTCGGGGCATTTATTTCAGGATGTACCTATGGCGTTGGAGCAGCGGGCAAGAGGCCCGCAGTGTGATAGAGGAGCATTTTCAGTATTTGACATATTGTTCATGTTGGCATGCCTAAGTCTAGTAGTTTGTATCATTTGAACTTATGTTTGAATTTGTAATTGAAGTTGTAATATTGTAAAGGGTAATTTGAAGTTGAAGTTGTAAGTTGTAATATTTAAGTATATGTTGTAAATGTAAAAGAGATGCATGATGTACCAGGATGGAAGGACTTTAGGCCTATGTTAGAGTTATGATTATATGCTTATATTGTGAAATTACATGTAAAGGGGACCTTTGTGATTGAAACAAGCAAGGATTATAATGTGAGTTATATAGTATAAACTGTGTAATAAATATAAACTGGATTGGGTTGTAAGTGCCCCAAGGCGTTGTTGGTCCTTGTGTGTGCCACCCATTGGATTATTACTGTATTATTGTTGGATTATTAGGTACTTTGAGGCATTAGTGAACTTGTACAAATTTGGGGATTATTGGAAAAACAAAGGAAACTCTGCGAATTTTCTGTAGAATTGGCAGATTTTAGGCGAATTTCGGGAGAGCATATCTCCCTCTATAGAGGTCCAATAGGGACGTGCTGTAAGAACCCGCACCGTTAATTAAGGTAATTAATTAATTAATTATGCAAAATAGGAAATGATTCCATAATTGAACCTAATAATTATTTATGAGGCTTAATAATCATATTTAGTGATTAAGAATGCTGAAAGTCGTTTTTCGGAAGAAAAGTGCAGATACCGGATCTGCTAGTCGGTATAAATGCGTGCCGAAGAAGTATCCCGGAAAATTAATGTAAGAGCATGATAATTACTAGAATAATGTGTAGGACTTGTGAAACGAGTTTCAAGTCCAAATAATGAGAACTGGTGCTAGAAACCGGTACTGGCCTTGGAAAAGCGCGTACCGGAAAGTTGCTCAGAAAAATATAAGAAAAATATGATAAATCTTAGAAAATTATGTAGTTTCATAATCCAAAGTTTGGGATTAAAATGCTAAACGTAGCAATTAAAGTTAATACTGCGTGCTTGAGTGAGTTTTGGCTATAAATACTCCCATTATGGGCACAAAACCCTAGGATCAGATTTTTATACGTGACTTGGTGGCTGAGTGCACCTTGGTACTGTTCCATTGCTGAGTTCTTCTTCCTTGAGAGTCTTGGAGCCATTTCTTCCTTGTTCTTTGTGGTTTCTTCTTCTTAAACACTTGTGTGAGGGAGAGTCACCTTTGGGAAGGGGTTTGTAGTGTTGTTTCTGAGTTGTGAAGTCTGTGTGAGGGAGGTTTGGTTGCTGACTTGCTGGTTTTGGGTTGAGAGAAGCTTGGTTTTGGTTTTTGGAGGTCCAAGTGGTGACCTTTGTGTTAAAGAACCAACCTTTGTGAAGCCATTTTCGTGCATCTTCCTTGAGTCAGACTTGAGGGGCTGTGTTGAGCTCCAAGAGCATCTTCATTCTGAGTTTTGAGCCTTGGTATGTATATCAACCTTTGATCTTGAGTTTTAAGGCTTAAAAATGGAAGCTTGATGCATGTTAAGGTTAAAAGATGATAACTTGTTGTTGGGTAATGTTGAACACGCCTAGAAATGCATGATTAGGTGTTTAAAATCAATAAAAGGGAACCTTTAAGGGATATCTTCACGAAAATGCAGAAACTGCATTCTGTCGTGAAATATCCGGATATCTGCCCGTGGAATATCCGGATATGGGATATCCGGATATGTGTATTCGGATATGGGGTTTTGGGGATATCTGGATATTGTATATTCAGATAGGGGATTCTGGATATCCGGATATTGCATATCCGGATATGTACAGTGAGATATCCGGATATTGCATATCCGGATATGGTCCCGAGGAGTATCCGAATATTCTGGGATTTCGCAGAACAGTAGCTGTGTTGTGCGTACAGTAGGCGATTGGGGGTTTGAAGACCCCAGATTGTTGAAGTTGAACTTCTGTTTTTAATGGACTAAGCCAGAATCATGGGATTAAGGGCTTGTGGCTTTGTTAGAAGCTTTAAGACTTGAAAACGTAATGAAAAGGCGTTGTCTTTAATGTGTATGCATGTGGTACATGTTTATTGATTTATATTTGGTCCATATCAGATTGTGATCTGCTGTGATTGGACTTTGAGCTTGTGGCATTGGATAGCTAGCTTAGAGGTAAGCTTTCGTGTCCTCGGTTTAGCCATGTTGTGGTTCCACCATGTCCCATGGGGGTATGGTTATATGCATGCTGTGTTACATGCTTTTGATGTTTTGGAAATGCTGTTGAGCTATTATATGTTAGTGCCTTGTTGATAATGCATGGAGGTGTTCCACCTATACGGTAAGCCTGAGTATGTAGAACATACAAGAGGGTGAGGCTGTGGGTGAGGTGCAAGCGGTGTTCCTTGTACTACATGTAGGGAATAGACGTATGTATTCCTACATTTCTCTGGCCAGTAGATAGTGATTACACACATGCCATAGATATCTGTTGCACTACATAGTTTTGGAACTGATAATGATATAAATGCTTTTTGAACTTATATTGCACATGTAAGTGAGCTTGGGGTGGAAGATCCTTGAGGACCCCTTGTCTTACTGAGATTTCTAGTTTAGAGATCTCACCCCACGTTTGGGGAATGCTTATTTCAGGGTCAGGTAATGTTGAGACCTCAGGCAGCAGGAGGCCGGAGCTGAGTTAGATTGCTGTTATATTATGCTGCCATGTTTGGATGCTGGATTTGCATGCTGCTTATGCTTATAGCTTCAGTTTATGTTTATGGAGTTTTATGTTGAGACTTGTTGTTACTATGTTTATTTGGTGAGCATGGAAATTGTCCATGACACATAGTATTATTATGTCTTGGTTATGTCTTGAGTCTTTTGGAGTTGTAATGATGTATCAGGATATTGTCCGGATTACTTGATGTAATACCGTGATTTAGATACACACTTTATCTATATATTGAGGTATTTCAGTAGATGTCTTATTGCAATTTACATACAGGCGATATTTTATGAAATTGATTAAGTAATCAAGTTGGTAATTGATAATGACGTCATAATTGAAAAGAAAAAGAATATTCCGCATTTTTAATTAAGCACCGCTTAATACGATGTAATGTGTTAATATTCCGGGTATACACGGGGTGTTACACGTGCCATACGCCATTTCGAAGCTTGAGATGTCCCCTATATGGTGTTAAAATATGAGCCAGTTCTGGGTTGTACGCAGCCCTGTGGAATTTATTGAGTTCGGACTGTACAGGGACCTCTGATGCAGGGGCTGTTCTGGCCAGGTTTTGGGAAATTGATTCCTACTTCGTCTCTCAGTCAAATTGAGTGTGTGATACACCAAAATGAAGTTTGAGATGTCTAGTTTGTAGGATAAAAATTTGAGAGCAATTGGATGAGTGGATTGTGCGCAGTAATTCGAGAAGTGTATGTGGTTTTGGTGCTGTTTTGGGGTTGGTTGGCTGTTTTGCTTATCCAACTTCAAACGGCGATAACCCGAGCTAATGAGCTCCGAATTGAGCGTGTGATAGCTTGTTGAAAAGGAAATTAAGTAAGACAAAGATATAATCTGAAAAGAAAGTATGTTTGTGAGCGGTGTGTTCGCAGAAAATTGATGAGTGAACTATGTTCGAAAAGGTAAAAACGTAAAGTTTGGTAATTGGCTAAGTGTGTTTATGGGAATCCCTTAGTAACTTGTAATAAGCAAAGTAAGTTATAAAAATAGTTTAAATAAGTCTTCCGCAAGAGTTTACGGTTATGGTCACAACTTTAATTGTTACGCGTTTTATTGTTTTAAATGCTCGCGTAATAATCGGAAAAAGTTTATTCGTATTTTTATAAATGAATTGATGTGATTGTAACTGCGCTTAATATCATAATTAATGTTAATAATATCGGTACGTAACGGGCTGTTACATGCATACACAGTGGGAATTCAATGCAACGACACCCTTATTTATTGAATCCCACTGTGACCTATGCGGACGGATGCCAAGTGTCCCATACCCTGGTGCCGAGGGATGCCTATATGATGCGTGCTCAATCACATGATCCTGTAGATAACTATTCTAGACTTCAAAGCTTACATGACTTAGGTGTATAAATGCCATGAAATGCGGTCACACACCAAACAGAAAAATGCATCATGATGTAAAAATGCATGCACATATCATTATCATCCTTTCATATTCTTACCATTGCCATATCATCATCACAAAATAACATTGAACATATGTGAGCAACACATCACAATTTCATACACTAGCTAATAGTCACATTAGGTAATACCGCCTAACACATACCTTAGCACTTTAGCTATTTAAATCAAGCATTCCACGATTATCCAAACAGCCACCAATTCAGTCCACATTCAATGAAATTGCGCACCTATATTAAAAGAAAACAGAACACAATTTTTTCAACATTGGCTCATACACGTAACAAGCTCAAATCATGCCTTCAACCCTTATTTTATTCTCGGTTTCTAGAGTCCCAAAATTCTTAATTTTTTTCTAACTTCAATTCATTTAAATACAGCAGCCCCATACTTAAATAAACAGAGGAAAAATCCTATCACTTCCATCCTACATGGTTTCGGTTTCATCATTAAAAGACCTTAAAGATTTTTATTCAACTTTCTTCTCCTCCTCATAATGGTGCGCTAAAATATAAAGTCCCACATGCTGTCTTGATAATTTTCCAACGCAAACAGTGAACATAAAACGCAATATACAACAACGTTTAAAAAAAAAAAAACTGAATATAACATGTTGTCTAGTAAATTTTTACAGCGAAACAATAGGCAGTGGATCATCAAACAACAACGTTTCTTCATCATAACTTCATAGACAGAACGCTGAAGTTTTTTTTTTTAACTTAACTATCACATAGTTCATAGTAAAATGTTCCAAAAAGGCATCTAGAATAAATTATTCCAACACATCTACTCTATAAAAGGGCGCTACTAAGCCTAACATGCATTCCTCTTAATTATTTTATGACAAATTTCTTAGACACACTCACTCAGTTTTCACATATTATAAGGATATCCTTTCAACATTTATTTCTTAAGCTTTCAAGTTAATACCCAAGAGTGGAACATGGCAGGGTTTTAAAGGAGCTAAAAATAGATAAAAGAACTAATCTCCTAGACATGCATCACGGTTTGGAGCAGAGGAAAAGAGTAAAGATTTTGAGCCTACCTCTTGCCGGAATACAAATGAAAATCAAATAGAACACAAGAGCAGTAAACTCAGCTCCTCAAATGATGGTTGTGCACACCAGCAATGAAGAAATATCTTGAAAACAGTCCTTCTAGCGTGAAGAACCTTGGCTGGACAGAGGAGGAATAGAATGGTTTACTCAATGATATTAATCTCCTAAGGTCTACGGTTTCTAAGAGGGAAAGATGAGAGTAGAGTAAAGTTTTAGAGATCCTTTGGTATGTCTTTAAGAGTACATACGGTCAAAGGGAGTGAGGGAAAAGGAGGTGTTTGTGTTTTCCTTTTTGAGTCTCAAGTTTCTACGGTTGAGGTTTGTGCCAAAGAGAAAGTGAAGTTCGAAAGGTGAGGTTTCCTCTACCACTTCAGTGCTTAGGTGGAAAGAGTAGGGGTTTGAGATGCTGATTTAAAGTGCACTAAGACCAGAAAATGACCAGCTCTTTCTCCCTTATGCGCATAAGGAAATGAGAGAAGAGATGGTGATTTATTTTCCAATAAAATTTCATGCAACCTGACCTCTAGTTCCTTCATTGGTTGCATGTCTAGGGCTGAACATTTTGGTGAAATAAAGCTGAAAAGGGATGTAAAGTACAGCAAGCAATGTCAGCCCCTTTTTCATTTCTTCTAAGCGCATGTGAGAGAGAAAAATGAGTGTGATAGACTTAAAACTTTTACAAGAGAACTTGATCATAATTTTTCTGATGCTTTTGTCCTATCCTAGCGCACATAGGTAGCAAGGAAGGGCTTGGCCAATCATGAGCTGTCTAGTGGGATTCTAAGGATAATGTGAAGATGATATAAGAAATTAGGCTGACTCCATGCCCCCTTTAAAGCCTTTGGGCCGTCGGCCAACCCAAGGATTGGGTCCAATATTCCATCTTCTAATAATTGGTATTTTCATGTAATCAATCTTCTAATAACTAATTAAAACTATACATTATAATTAGATTAATCATATCTTCTTAACTTAGAGCTTCCATTACTAAATCACCTATTCACCCATAATTTATAATTAACATAATTTTCATAGCTTAGTTAAATCCACTCTAAATAAAGGATACTCCTTTTGTATGGACCGAGGAATGTGAGGAGTGCTTTCTGACTCTAAAGGAGAAATTGATTACTGCTCCTGTGTTGACTCTTTCCGATCCGAAAGATAAGTTCGAAATGTATTGTTATGCTTCCAAGAAAGGGTTGGGGAGTGTTTTGATGCAAGAACGGAAGGTGGTTGCCTATGCGGCTAGGCAGTTAAAGCCCCATGAGGAAAATTATCCGACACACGATTTGGAGCTAGCTGCAATTGTATTTGCCTTGAAAATCTGGAGGCATTTTCTGTATGGGATTCAATTTGTTGTGTTCAGTGATCACAAAAGCTTGAAATATTTGTTTGATCAGAAATAACTGAACATGAGACAGTGGAGATGGGTGGAATTCTTAAAGGATTATGATTTTGAGCTGAAATACCATCCGGGTAAAGCTAATGTGGTAGCAGATGCCTTGAGTACGAAGTCTGTCAGTGTGTCCAAGCTGATGATGTGGGATAATGAAGTGATTGAGCAAATCCAGGATTTGAAAATAACGAATTTCTTTGAAGGTAGGACGTGTGATATTGAGTTGTTATGGATTGAAAATGAGTTGCATACGAAATTTAAAGAAACTCAGATAAAGAATGATAGTGCTAAATATTTGAAAGGTCAGAGTGGCATGTCTTTTAATGAACAAGGGTTACTGTTGTATCAGTGCAGGATTGTCATGCCCAAGGAGTTAGCAGATGAGGTTATGGTTGAGGCCCACAAGGGTCAGTATGCTATCCACCCAAGTGCCACTAAAATGTATCAAGATTTGAAAGAGAAGTTCTGGTGGCCTGGGATGAAAAAGGATGTTGCTGAGTATGTATTGAGGTGCTTGGTTTGTCAGAAAGTGAAGATAGAACATCAGAAACCTGCTGGTTTACTTCAGCCACTAGATATACCAGAATGAAAATGGGAGAGCATCTCCATAGATTTTGTTGTGGGGTTACCTCGGACTCTAGCTGGTTACGATTCAATTTGGGTTATTGTGGATAAACTTACGAAGTCTGCACATTTTCTGCCAGTGCGAGTGGATTTCACTACGGAGATATTAGGAAAGCTATATGTTAATGAGATTGTAAGGCTCCATGGGATTCCGGTTAGTATTGTAAGCGATCGGGATCCGAAGTTTACTTCACGTTTTTGGGGAGCTTTACAACAGGCTTTTGGCACTCAGCTCAGGCTGAGCACTGCGTACCACCCGCAGACTGATGGTCAGACTGAGAGGACCATACATACACTTGAGGATATGCTGAGAGCCTGCACATTGGAGCAGGGTACTGTTTGGGATCGGTATTTTCCATTGGTGGAATTTTTATATAATAACAGTTTCCACTCCTGTATGGGCATTGCACCGTATAAGGCTTTGTATGGGCGGAGATGTCGTACTCCTACTTGTTGGACTGAGGTAGGTGATAAAGAAAGGTTTGGTCCGGATTTTGTGCAGGAGACCACGTTGCAAATTGAAATGATAAGAGAAAAACTTAAACAGACACAGAATCGGCAGAAAAGCTTTTATGATAATAAGCATAGACCGCTTGAATTCGAAGAAGGTGACCATGTATTTGTGCGGTTATCTCCGGTCATGGGTTTTGGCCGTGCTTTGGGTGTGAGGAAGCTAAGTCCTCGGTTCATTGGGCCATATCAAATTATGAAAAGAGTAGGATTGGTTGTCTATCAGTTTGTCTTGCCCCCACAGTTGTCCAATCTACACGATGTCTTTCATGTGTCGCAGTTGAGACGTTATATTCTGGATGAATCACATGTGGTGACACCAGATGATATTGAAATCCGGGAAAACTTGAAAACTCCCATTGGTCCCATTAAAATACTGGACCGCAGTGGGAAGGACACACACTTGAGGAGGCTACTTGGGAACGGGAGGATGAGATTCTTCGGCTGAATCCTGAGTTAGCGGACAGGTATGATTTAATTTTGCGAACAAAATTTCTAAAAGGAGGGGTGAATATAACACCTCATATTTCTGAATGCATGATTATATGTGATAATGTTGGTTAAAGGGGTAGGATTAGTGAAAATCCAAAAATTAGAGTCAAAATATGAAAAAATGGCAAAATGCTAATTTACCAAACACGTAACCCTAGGCATGAAAAATTGAGTAGAAGGTCTTAAACGATAAAAATAATGTCGAAAATAGATTTAGAATGAAAAATCGAGTGGCTAGGCAAGTTTCGGAAAATTTGATGAATAGTGATTTTTTCGGTGTAAAATACTGCGGTATAATTGTACCGATAAACGTGAAAATATTATCAGTATTTTTAGGAAGTAAAAATATGACGTGAATGAGGAAAATACGTAGGATATGAATTTGTGGGTTAAAATGGATGACTTAAGAATGTTAAAAGACATGTGGAACCACTTTAAGTGACTTAAGTGACAAATAGACAAATGGATGATTTTTGTGTTGAACCATTGGTTGGAGATCACTCCCTTGGATCGTTGGAGACTATTGGTGGTAAGATTTAACATTCTCATTTTGTTTTCAATGAGATCACAAATTGGGTGAGGGTTTTGAAGTTGTAAGTTGAGTTATGGTAGTTAGGAGCATTAAATGGTATGTCTCCTTTGGAATTAAAGGCTTAGAATGATAAATGATGATGATTTATGCAATAAAACTTATGGTGATTTGTAAATTTATAACTTAGAAAATTTTTGAGTGTGATGCAAGAATTCATGAAATTTCCATGTTGTAGGAGTGTGTAAGTTGAGTTGTGGATCATTGGTATGAGTTAATTGTATGATTAAAGATCTGTATGAGTGTTAAATTGAATTGAAAGCAAGGTGTATGATCCTTGAAGAATTCGGACCATAGAGGGAATTTAAGGAAAAATTGATGTGAAATTATGGTTTAATCCATGGTTGAGGTTTTAGTGCATGATTAGTGGGTTGGTGAGTAAGTTTGATGAGTAAAGTGATGGAAGTAGTTGATTAATTGTGAGATGGTCTTTGGACCTAAGTGATTCTGTTGGTCATAATTATTATGAAATTGATTGATTTTATGCAAGTCTGATGATCACGATTATTTGATCAATATAGGTTGTCACTCACGGAAGCAATAGAAGTGGACTAAGCTTGAAGCTTACGTGAGGAGCATTGGCTTCGGAGTTGAGGTAAACCTTTGGAACTAGGATTTAATCCCTTGTGTGCTCCACCACACCAAGTGGAAGGTTGTGGTTGGATTTTGTGCTTTTGACATTGTGTGAATATGTATGTTCATGCAATATTGCTTCATTGTGTGACATGCTTGGAGCATGTTGTGTGTGATAATCTGTGATCTCTGGCCAGTAGATGTGTGTGGTTTGGACTTCCGCTGGAGATATCCTTTGGAGATTCCGGTCGAGTTTTGCCGTGGGGCCGACTCTGGGAGAGGTACCAGGATGATCCAAACGTGGGACTTCCGCTGGATAGGGCTCATGAGGAGTTCCAGTTGGGTTTTGCCATAGGGTCGTCTCATCCATGGGAGAGGCACCAGGAAGCTTCCCGAGAGTTATATGATGGGGTCCTTGAACGGAATCATTATGTGGATGTTCTTGGATTTGTGCCCAGTTGTTTGGTGATTTTGTATGTTATGCATTTTACTTGATGTTATTGTTGCACATTGAGTGAGCCACATGGGATGGAGTGATCATCTAGTATCCTTAGTTTGCTGAGATATATTTGTATATCTCACCCCACGTTTGGGGACGTCATTTCAGGCTATAGCGAGCATGGAGGAGCTTCGGGCAAGAGGTCCGCTAAGTGGATGAGTTAGATCATGATGTGCATATGGATAGAATGGCATTTTGGAGGAGTTTATTTGATGCACATAATATGACATTTAGCATATTGGACTTAGATCATGAACATATTGCATGTTGAGATTTCCATGCTTTTGTGGTGTTCATGACTAGACTCTAAGTCTATGTAGTTGATGTACATTTATGCCTTTTGATTATATTGGTATTTTGGTGAGCATGGGACTTGTCCATGACCATATATGTTGTATTTTGAGGAATTGGAAGACTTATGATGTAAAATAGGCCATTTAAGGTTTAAATGGCAATGGAATTGTGAAATATTGTACATGATGCGTTGATTAATAAATATGCATGATGGAAGGGCCTAGAGCCTACATTAGATCTTGTGTAAGTTGTATCTTGGGTAGTGAAGTGTTAGGAGTGGATTACATCACCCTTTTTGTGATTTTTAAGCTGTCATCTGTCATTTTTACAGAAAGGTAATCGGTTACTTTTCTTTGGTAATCGATTACCTGAAACAGGGGACGCAAAATTGAGCCACTATTTTATAAGTAATCGATTACTTTTCATCAGTAATCGATTACCAAAAGATTGGTAATCGATTACCAAAACAGGGGAGCCCAAAATTGGCTAGTGTCTCATTCTGGAGCCTTTGGTAATCGATTACCCAAAAATGGTTATCAATTACCACTGTGTAAAGTTTTGAAAATATGTTTTCTGAAATC